AAAATAATATAATTTGATCAACCGATAGAAAACAATGTGGCCAACAAATTTAGTTATGTACTAATTATTGCTAAATTATGTTATTTAAAAAATAGAAACAAAAAACCATTTAATATCCTATATGAGACGWGTTAATGTYGGGCMAGTAACACCTAGCGCTGTTAGTACCTCTGGTCGCCACTTCGACACGGCAGCTACACGTGCAACATATCCGCAAGCTCCAACCCGAGTAGATAACTGTGGTACAGACTGAGTGGTTTTATACCACGCTAAACAGTTTTTGGAATGTTAYTCACTTGTAAAACGGAGACAGCATCATGCGGTTATCACGTCCTCTTAAGATTAATTTAAAATTTAAATTGAACACTGACATTAATATTAAACAACCGATTGAGACATTTCACCCACCCACCAGCTTACTAAAGTAAGCCCTCAACGGTGTTTGCCATCAATCATCATCAGACCACTTGCTCTCTCACGCTACCACGTCCACCGGTCCACCGCCGTCTGTAATCACCACTATTTTTTTTATACTTGTTCGTCCATCCTAGCACGTTCGTCGTCGTCTACAACGTTTTAGGAAGAATAGGTGAAGTCAAGAGTGTCCTCAAGGGTGGCGAATGGGGCAGTAGTCCCCCCCCCATGTCCTTTATATTCTTTCTTAAAATGTTCATAATTTATATTAAAATATCACACTAAGAAAAAAAATCAAAAGTACTCAGTAAAATCATATGATATCGAATGTTAGACCAAAAAAGAAACCAATGTTATCACTACGAAAAAAATACAAATGTGAACAGTTATAACGAGGCAGCTGCTACCTGTAAAACACCTAGTGATTGGTGTATTTATATAAGTAGAATGTGTGAAAGATTCTAGTTTTTTGGAAAATTATTTTAAAAATATAGAATGAATTTGTGGACGCGCCTCTGTCCTCTATTCTTCTGATTCATAATCAAATAAACACAAAAATAATACTTTGGATTTTATATTCAACATAATTCATTAAAAAATTGTAACGTAAAACCATGAATCTTAATTCGTGCGTAAAAYAAAACGCATAACATAATAACACAGATTTCTCTATATCACAGAACAATAATTGTTTATAGCATAGTTTCAAGGTGGTTTCATCATTTTTAGTATATTATTATAGTTAAGTTGTCTATCACAGTATCACGGACTTAAATATCTTAATCCATGTAATCTATGTATAATAATGATAATACGTTATGGCTTCGCAAAAATACTAGCCAGTGTTCTCTAATGCCATACACAGAAATATGCAAATTAACCTTTTTAGTATTGTATTTAATTGGTTTTATTTAATTTTTAGAAAGCAAATGTAAGTATTTCCATTGTTTTTTGGTTGATGAAGTCTTTTAAGTTCATATAACAGAATGTAGTTTTATAATCGTACAAATTTTACTGTTTTATAATAATATGTCCATCAGGTTATTTAAGCTATTACATAAAACTATACTAAATCGATTAAAATTTATAATTTAAAAATCTACAATTGACTGCTGAAGTCTCTATTTTGTGATTCAAACTACTGATTACTGTGTTTGTAAATATTATATTAAACTATGACCTATGTACTCTTGTGAATAACGTTTCCATTTTCTGTTAAGAGGACGCTACCCCCACATAATGCTGTCTCCGTCTTATAAATGTAAAGCATATAACAAAAGCTGTTTTGCACGGGAAAGAAACAAGAAGACTACAGACTTAACTATAAGAAACAAAATTTCTACCACCTAAAAAGGAGAATTTTGGCTATGAAATATCGTTTTTATTTTTTCGATATCAGAACTACAAAAAAAGTTATTCAAATTTGAAAAACACAAAAATAAGAAACAATAAGGAACAATAAGAACTTTTTTCGTATAAGTGATATGAAAAAAAATTACAAACGATAGTTCCCAGATAATGTTCTCAACTATATTGTATATAAATTTGGAGTCTACTACAGCCTGAGTGGTTCTTTCCTGCGAATACAATTTTTGCTATGTTATACATTTGTTAGACGGTTAGGTTAGGTTAGGTGACGCAACAACAGACGCGGGTGTATCGCATTCTTAATATAACCAAATTTTCCGAGGGTGACTTAAATGGTAGGCCAATAATCTTTAAGATCTAAGTAAAATTGTCRGAGAAAAAACGTCCACGGTAAAAATGTTTGAAGAAAAATGTCTGAGGTAAAATTGTTTATAATATAGGATAAATGTACAGACGAAATAATTTATTATACACACGTCATATACCAATTTTTTGCTGTGGCACATAAAGACTGAGCTGTTTGCACATTATTTATTAATATTTAATAATAAATGTATCATTTTTATTCATAATTGCATTCAGTTTTTTATTAATTAAATTCAGTATTAATGATAAAAAATTCCACAAAAATAATTGTTCAAATTTACCAAAAATTTTACCTTTTGCTAATATATTATAAAATGTTAAGAAGTTATCAGCCAATACATATTCTAACGTAAAATATAGATTTAAATTTAAAAAAACAATTCAAAAATTTTTCCTTGTAAAAATGTAAAGTAACTATATTCTGGATTGACGATAAACGACATTTTGCGGATTACGACCAACTGATAAAGATTAATATTTAATAATAATAATAAATTRTTATTATACAATATTAAATATAATACGAAAAAATGTTAATTATAAATACATCATATTATAGTCTATGATTTCATTTAAATTGGTAAAATAAAATATATAATAATTACTAATTACCATGTTCAGAAAGATTTCTGAAAACAATAATTAATCGAGTTTTCATTCATCATACACTATTGTATACTCTTATGACCGTATGCAAGCGACTTTTTATCGTTACTATCTTATTCATTTTAATTTATAAATTTATTGTTCTTATAACAGTTTATTGATATCATCCTAAATAAAACCATAATCAAATTAACTTGTAGTTGTGAATCGTATTTTTATTAATGTAATATTGTCAACTAAATATTATTTCTAACTTATTATAGGCGAGACAAGTCTATTCATGCTAAAATGTACGTAATTGTTTTGTTTTTTTTTATTTTACGTATCTCATATTTGTCTGCTATTATAATAATACACTAATATAGCAATATTACACAGTATTACTTTATGAGATACGTTTGTCTTAGTAGATACATCCTATATCAGATATTATTATTTTTTTTTACAATGGCCATTCAATTATACAAATCAAGGATAGGTTAAGCTCTCGAATATTCACTGAAAAACCAAAATAACAGCTTCATCATTCTAAGTGATTCCCTAAGCTCAACAACAAATATAACAAAAAATAACAAAACATACACACAAACCAATGGCATATCAAAATAAATCCATCTCGTCATCTCTGCCCAGTGCCCATCACGCCAAAGGAAATGTAGTTAAATTAATGTAGATTCCCTCCCATTCATCAATAAAAGGCAATGAAAATGTTTACCTGCTTACCAAAAATATAGCATTAAGAGTCCCAACGGGTAATATGGCAAACATCTCTGCTTAGGACTATAAACGCACAGTAAAATTGATATCAGCACAATCCTGGCAAAACCTCTGGTCTAAACAATATACTTAACTTAATAAAATAAAACAATAGATTCACCTAATAATCTTTCAAACAGAAAAATAGAAACCAGTATCAATAGACTTCGAATAAGTCACACCAGACTTACCCATGGATATCTGATGTCCCGTGAAGAACCTCTCATATGCACATTCTGCGGGGTCAATCTATAAAATGCATCATGACTGAGTGTATAATATGCCTGCAACACGATTGTGCACTTTTTCCTCTTCTGACCAGACTAATTACAACACGATTGCGCATCAAATGATATGTATATAATATACTATGTATAATATTTTATGTACAATATAAAATAATGTATACAATACATATTTTCTATAATTTTCAGATAATATATGCACTCAAACTATTAATTCACAAAATAAATTTTTTTCAAAATCGAAATAAAAATTTGATTTAGCTAATGATGCTGTATATTTATACTAGTCAATTTCAAACACAATTTTACAGTTAGTTAATTAAATTAAAAATAAATAATTAATTCACAATTTTCCTGATATACTCGTATAACATGGTATATTATAAATGATATTAAAGTCAATACTTAATATCGACGAATGACTGTTTGCAAGCAATGGGACCACGTTACTGTGCTAGTTACCAAATGTAATTTTTTAAATCAATTACATATTAGAAAATATATATTACGATATGAATGATATGATTATTTAATTATTATTATAATTTATTACCATTATTTTTATATAAAGGGGCAGTGTGGTGCAGTCATTAATGTGAGTGCCTCCGCCCGCCACCATGACTACTACAACCCGCTGTATAATGGTATTTATTATCTTGGATTATGACGGCCGCATGCGCCATCACATTTCAAATACGTACCGTAGCCTGCTGGTCCGTAGCGCGCTAGATGATCATAATCAGTGTTGAGACTTAACTAGATATTTCATCTAGATAATATTTATTTATCTTTTATTTTATCTAGATGAAAATGTGGATAGGTATCTCAGGGTTATCTAAGATGAAAAAATCGTTATATTTTTAGTACTATCTAGATAATATAAGTTGTTACGTACCCTATCAATATTCAAAACATAGTGTAAGTTTCTACTATGAGTAGTGATATAACTAAGTAGGCAATTAATATAAAATAACATGCTGAGGTCATCGTAAAAAAGGCGTAGATCAGGGGTCTTCAACCCGCGGCCCGCGATCACATTTGAAATTAAGCATGTATATTTTCTATTTCGATAAAATTATAACGGCTAAGGCTTAGCCGCTAAGCCATCGCTATCGGACATATGCGATAAGATAAATTTAATTATACGTACTATACCTACCTACCTACCTAGATATAAATGATCTAACCTACCTAGAGATAAATGTTGGCTGTTGCCTGTTAGTTCGTAATCGATTGTGGGATGAGCATAATACTCGTGTGAAATATGTTTATGTGTAAATAAAGACTCAGAAGCCAGTGTCAAAGCTAGTTATATAATAACACAAAAAATTGCCGCTAAATCGAAGCCGTTCACTGATGGTGAATTTATAAAAGAGTGGATGGAGGCGGCCTCTGAAATTTTATGTACAGCACAAAAACAACTTTTTTCCAAATTGAGTTTATCAGGTGTAACTGTAGCAAGGCGTATAGAAGAACTAGGAACTAATATTGAGAGCACCCTAAAAGAACGAATTTCTAAATTTATTTTTTATTCGCTGGCCCTTGACGAAAGTACAGATTTGTCAGATACTGCTCAATTAGCAATTTTTGTTCGGGGTATCGATTCTAATTTTAATATCACTGAAGAATTAGCCGCGCTTTTTCCAATKAAAGGCACAACAAAAAGTTGTGATATTTTTAATGCGTTAATATCGACACTTAACCGTATTGACATCAAATTAAATAACCTTTCTGGAGTTTTATCAGATGGAGCCCCATCAATGGTTGGAAAAAATGAAGGGCTCGTAGCGCTAATTAAAAAAGAAATGAGTACATGTGGTGCCTTACAACTGATGCAATATCACTGCATTATCCATCAAGAAAATGTATGTACAAAATCTGTCGGTTTTCAAACTATTATGAAAGATGTTGTAAAAATAGTAAATTTTATCAGATCAAGAGCATTGAATCATAGAGAATTTAAAAACTTTCTAAGTGAAATAGACGCTGAACAAGGTGATGTAATCTATTTTACAGATGTTCGTTGGCTCAGTAGAGGAAAAGTCTTGAAAAGGGTTTTTGATTTAAAAAACGAAATTTTTGAATTTTCTGCAAGTAAAGGAAAAAAATTTGAACAACTTAATGATAAAGAATGTAAAAATGATTTTGCCTATCTCACGGATATTACATTGCACTTGAATGAGTTGAATTTACGCTTGCAACGTCAAAACCAATTAACTCATAATTTATTCGACCATATTAAAGCTTTCGAAAATAAACTTATGCTGTGGGAAGTCCAGCTAAAAAAAAATAACACAGCTCACTTCCCATATATGTCAAAATACAATGTTACTTCAACAGAAAAATATGCAGAAGCAATTTCTGATTTAAAACAAGTTGAGGTTCTCAGATTTCAAAGCTAATGAAACATATTTTAATTTGTTTTCAATTCCATTTTCATTACCAGTTGAAGATGTCCCAGAAAACATGCAAATGGAGATCATTGATTTACAAAACAATAAAGTATTAAAAGAAAAGTACAATAATGTTGAACTTTCAATTTTTTATTTGAAATATATTAACACAGAGACATATCCTAATCTTCGAAACAACGCATTAAGAATGATGTCTCTTTTTGGCAGTACTTACACTTGTGAACATATTTTTTCACGAATGAAAATTGTCAAATCGAAAAATAGAGCTCGGTCAATTGACAGTCACTTGGAAAGTTCACTCAGAATTGCCTCGTCACAGATCCAACCAAATATAAACAAATTAGTTAGTGAAAAACAGTGTCAGTTATCACACTAAAAATAAAATAAAAAATTTGTAATTAACAAAAAATGTTTATCTATATATGTTTTAATAATAATAATTTGAAATTTAAAATGTAATCATGAAAATTTTAATAATAAAACTGAATTGTTGTATAAAATACATGTTTTTACTACGAATGCGGCCCGCAAGATTATTAAAAAATAATACGTGGCCCGCTGCATAAAAAGGTTGAAGACCCCTGCTATAAAGGTAAGTAGGTAAACTTGATTACCTAATAATCAGTCATTCTATGAACTTTTTGAAAGACAATTATTTATTAAAAAATATTAATCAATTTAAAGATTGTAAGTGGAGAAACCATGGAAAACAAAAAAAATACTAAATGTTATCTTAGTTATGACAATATCTTTATTTTCTTGCGTCGCGGGACTGAGTCACCGCTACCACGTACATCGTACTACTAACGACTGACAAAAATTAATACGCGGGTCGTCCGGCCGATCGGTGTACAGACACATACACACACACAATACAAAACAATATATTACATTAATAATAATAATAATATATGACCGGTCCGGATACGGGCGACAAACGATCATATTCTATCGGAGGCTAATCATCAGAAAAACCTGCGATTAGATTACTTATAAATATAAGTATAATATAAGTAGGTATAATATACAATTTTACAAGATAAAATATACATTTTATATTTTTATGTATAAATCATAGTTTATACCAAATTTGTTGTCGAACACGTCTACACTGATGACGGAGTTAGCAAACATTTTCTTTGATGTTCGTTCAAATACCGCCTATTGAGCGAACATTTTAGAGTTGTACGCGCACACATAGGAAACACGTACAGACTAGGTGAAACATTCTCAACGAACATGTTCGACAACAATGTTCGTCCTAGTGTGGACCCGGCTTAACTGCTTAACATGAAAAAATTAATTCCCACTCTATAAATAGACCAAAATTAAATTAAATTACTATCAATGAACGCAATGATATCATTTATTATATGATGTTATATGTGTTATATACGAGCACTGGGTATTTTATACTATGCGCAGAAAAACATTACTACAAAGAATAATTTTATACTCATTATTTATTAATTATTTAAATAATATTCGTTATTAATATGTATTATCTAAAATTTTTTATTAGGAATTTATAATATGATATTTATAAAAAGAGATATTTGTTTGGAAAAATTATGTTTTGTATTATAAATTATAATGTTTGAAATTTAAAATTTGTTTTATGCATACATTTTATTTTGTAAGGTTAAACACAATATTAAACACAATATAAATGTTCTGAAAATGGTTTATTTATTGGAAATAGCTATTTATTAGCAATTTAAACTTCAAAATTGATAAATTTTTACAAGTACCTACTATGGGATATAATTATTAATTGGATAAGTCTCATTGTTCAACTTTTAATTAATTTTAAAATACAAATTATTCTTTTATTAATCTTTGAATTATGTAAGTCAAAATGGCCAATAGGTAAATATTTATAAAGACAATTATTGTGAAATGTAGGAAGTCATTATTTATGTTATGCTTAAAAAATCTGTATTCCTACTTTTAAGATTTTAATCATTGGTAGATATATTAATTTCTAATAGTAAAATATAAATTTAATCGTTGGTTAAATGAAATTATTTTAAATAATTAAATTTTCATCTTTTTTTATCTAGATACATTTTGTTTTTATTTTATCTTATCTGAGATAAATTAAATTCATGTTATCTTATCTTATTCTAGATAATATTAAAGCAATAATCTTTTATCTATAATATCTAGATAATTTTCACTTATCTGGTCTCAACACTGATCATTATTTATTATTATTATTATTTTTTTTTTTGTCTAAAAGTATCAATCTATTGCCAATTGTAGACTGTGTTCAACTAATCGGAAACCAATTCTGAAAACATATATGAATTCATCATAAAGTTTTGTAGAAAACAACTTTCTCACGTTTTTAAATTAATTTTTTTAGCTCTATATTACCATTATTTTAAAATTCTTAAAATTCAAAATTTCAAATTATAATTTGTAGGGTTCAAGTGATCTGATCAATTTCAAAAAAGTTGAAAAGTCAATTTCAATTAAACTTCATAGCGAATTCAAATATGTTTTCGGAATTTGTTTCCGATTACTAGAACAGCCAATACACTTGGCAAAATGTAGGTATATTTTGGTAGAAATCGCAGCGGTATCGAATCTATTATAATTATGTATTATAAATTAATTATATAATAATAATATTATATATTATATATTATTATTATTTGTTTCGGCTCAGTTTCAATTTGAATAAATAAAAACTAAAGAAATACTAGTGGACTGTATAATTGATTGATATATTTTATTAATAATACTTGAATAATAATTTTAAATAATAAACACTATTTTAATTGTTATAATAATGTGAATTTACATTACGTCGCGTATATTGACCGGCATTGTCACCGACGCGTCGTTGATATCGAACTGACGACCCGTGCCTTAATATTAAAGTGTTATTGCCCGATCCATAGCGATATCATAAATGATAATAATGGTGCTATACATTATCGATAATAATATTGTACATTAAACAATTATTATTATTATTATTATTATTATTATTATTATTATTATTATTATTATTATTATTATTATAATATTATAATTATGTATTATAAATATTATAATTATGTATAATATTAAAATATATTTATTATTACGTATTACTATCTATCCTTAACACTTAAGCTATAAGTTATAACATTGTAACACATATAAAAAAAAAAATACAGGGTACTATTAATAAGTCGAAAAGAAAAAAATTCGTTGCACTTGTTTTTATTTTATTGTTTTTATTGTTTAATGTTCGATTATAACAATAAATACCCTTTATACCTTAGAATTTAGATCATAATATATACTATGGATAGAGCCACAGCGTATTATACCAATAAAAAAKAATGAATTCGATAATAGCGACGAGTCACCGAATTAGGTGTTTGATATGCGCATGCATGATGTAATTCGTCGCTTATTTATCCACATGGTAGGTATATTGTTATATTTCGACCTGTACGGCCTATGAATAATTCTTCGAAGAAATAAATCACGCATGCACATACCAAACACCTAATTCAGAGAGTCATCGCTAATATTGGCTTCAAAATAAGGTTCCGGGACATTTGCGGTCGGCACCTTTTGCGTGCCATTTGCGGTCAATTTATTTCTATCTACCTGACTATAAAATTCGGGTGCTATATATATAATATTTTATATACTATATACTTAATTTATGTTAATAGGTAGCTATAATACTTTTTTGCTATAGTTGAAATTATACTACTGATTATTACTATACTTGTCAAATATATTATATTTAAACTTCCCTTCACATTATTAGAACAGGGATTACATTTAGTGACTGAAATTCCAGTTTACTCATCGGTAAAAACAACGTTGAATCGTATACGGCGTAAATCACTCGGAAATGCATTGGCTCCTAAATTAAGAGTAGATATTATTATACCTTGCGATTCCGAATTTGTATTATTTGATGACGGAGAAGTAAATAGGATTATAGGTTTGCCTATTAACATAATTTCAGTATATAGTATATAAAATATTATATATAGCACCCAAATTGTATAGTCCGGTAGATAGAAATAAATTGACCGCAAATGGCACGCAAAAGGTGCCGACCGCAAATGTCCCGACCGCATCGGTGCCGACACCTCAAAAAAATACGCTGTAGCTCCATCCATAGTATATCATCTAAGCTTTATACCTATTGTAGTTATTTTAACTTTTAAGTATGGTTTTTGTATTACCAGCATTTTTGAATAAAATTATGGTAATTCATTATTATTATATTCTTCTAGATTGGATTGGTACGAACATTTTTTTTTTGTATATAATTAAAATTTATGTTTTATTCTATATATGAGATTTCAAAATTTCAAAATTTTATATTATTTATTATTTTACCTGAAGCTCAACGGTCGGCAACTGGCGAACCGCGGTCCGAATACGGACCGTGGAAGGCGGAAAACTGGACCGCCAACATGTCTTAAAACTGTATAATATATTAATAATTACATTAGTGAAAGTAACTAGATAAAACCGGGAAGAATACGATTGCGTACGCTGCTTATCGGTGGTGCCTTTTTTGGACATTTATTTAACCCGATTGCGTACATTATTTTTATGCAACGATGTCAAAATTGAACACCAAATTTTACGAGAACAATTATTTGTAATCGCAAAGCAAATGACTCAATTTCAATTAGCTAGGCCATCAAAAATAATTAGATTTGAGCTGATGGCAACAGATTTTTAAGTGCCGCATTCAGATATAAAATCCTTGAAAAAAGCGAAGTACGATGATAAAAGACTGAAAACTATTTTTTAATTATTTTTTATGTTATAATATTTAACTGTATTATTTTGTTAACACATTGTACGTACCTATTCTGCAGGTTAAAATAAAATTTATTTTATTATATACATAATAATAAAGCTATATTTACGAGTCCCCGCTGTTATGCAGCAAACGTACCCAATCTTGTTCTCAAAAAGGAATATCGTAGGCAATCGGGAACTACCCATAAAACCAAAGGGTCCATTACATTTGACATCACTATTCATTTAAAAAATGCATATAATTGTATTATTAATGACTGTTGTATATTATTATATATATTTTTCAGATTTATATAAAAGTAAGTATATTTTATGTTTATTGTTATACGAGTATTTTTACTTTTTTCGAAAACAAATCCAAAATTAATTGGAATATACAGTATTTGTAATTTGTTTAGATTCTTGATTATTTCAAACACTGCAGTTATCAATTATTGACTTCTTTACTACCCAAACTAATACCTACTAAACCCTCTAGTAGTTTAGTGTAATTTTATGAAAACTTAATATATATGTCACAGTTAAAACCCGAAATCCGTCGAAACTAGTTTTAACTAGTCAAAACTAGTTCCC